CGATTGTATTGATATCATTGTGGGAGAGAATGGCGTCAATTAAATCGAAACATCACTTTTTAAAATATACTTAATTGAATTACCACATTGTTATTCAATTCTTAAAATGAGAAACCAATATTCAATTTAATGACAATTCAATTATATTGACTGTAAATTACATACGAAATGAAATAGGGTTCACAGTACTCGGTATATATCACATAGATATCAAAACATTAATGTCATTAATTGGGTTAATTTTATCATATTCTGTTATTCTTATTCAGACAAATATTAGGTAATTTAATAATAATAATATAATTTTATATAAATGTCAAATAAATAAAATGTCATTTATTTATGTATAAACTTTTTTATTTACAGAAAAATGTCTTATTAAATTAAACAATGTCATTTTACAGTAAGTGTAATCTAGGGCAGGTGAAGGTAATAATCTTTCTTTCATATAAAAAAACAAGGTTTGAAAGCAAATCTACACGTTAAATATGTTGTGGTAAAGTAAATAAAATTTATAAGTATTTTGATAGCTTTTAATGATATTATTGTTTGTTCGCCAGTCAATAGAGTTAACGTTATATCAGCGCTCATAGAATTAACATTTCAATAGAAACAACGTTTCCATAGGAAAACATGAGTTACTTGAAGTAAAACTTAAACTTAGGTTGCGAGGGGAGGGGTGGCCTTTCAATCATATATACCGTATACAATAATCATGCAGAATTTTGGTTGCAATTTTAATCAAATATATGGTGTTTGTATAAATAAATGTAATATATTGTATTGAATTTTGATTAAAAATATTTGCATTCAATGCAAATATAAATTAAATGATAATTTTATAGTAAATAAACTATTTTAACATAATAATTTTTATTGCAATCATTTATAACCTATAAACTATTTATAAGTTATAAGTTAGAAATAAATACTAAAATACTTTATTTATAAAACTGTTTTAATTCTATTAATTATTTCTTAATTTATTTACAAAATGACTAAACCTTTGTTAAGAGGTTTGAAATTTTTAATAAACTATCATAAAATCTATGGAAATATGTTTTTAAGCTATGGTTTCACTGAAAATGAGAGATTATTAAATAAATTAATACAAATATTGTGGAGTTTTCTGATGACATGTATAATGTGTTATCATTATTATTTTGAAGTGCGGACTTATGTAACAGCTGAGATCTTACAACTTGGTATAAGTTTTGGCAAAAATAAATTAATCTTAATCCTTTTTGAGAGCCAAGAGTTGAGTTATATTTTACAACCAATTATTTGTGTAATTATTATGGCTGTGAATAGAAAACAAATCCTAAAACTAATGAAAAGCCAATCATTTGTTTATATCGACGACAGATATGAATTTAAAGTTGGGATTTACACCACTTTTATTACATTTATTATAAGTTTTACACTTTGGTTAGTGTTTATGATTTATTACATAGATTAATGAAAAGCCAATCATTTGTTTATATCGACGACAGATATGAATTTAAAGTTGGTATTTACACCACTTTTATTACATTTATTATAAGTTTTACACTTTGGTTAGTGTTTATGATTTATTACATAGATTTCAATTTAAGTTTAACTTTACAACAAATTTACCCTAATATATTTGCGCCAATTGTATACTTTATCTTAATTAATATCCAGCTAAGTATTGTATCATTGATTGCATATCAGAGTTGTATTGTTTCGCAACAATTCAAATACATTGCAAATAATTTGTGTCATTTGGATAAGAATATTGTTAACCATTTTGTGGTTAAAACTCATTGTTTTATTAAATCACTTGACAGTAATTTGTCGATTTGCACCTTTATTTTGCTGGCGTCTAACACATGGAGGTGTTTATCGGTGTTATGTATGCTTTCAATTGGACCACAAGAACAGAAATTATATTCAATTTTTATACTCATTGAAAGTGTTTTAACACTTTTTGTTACAATTATTGTTTGTAATATAATTCCAAAATCTTTGGACCAATTAATTCATAAAACAGTCGTTTATTCCTCTGAAGTGGTGGTTCAGAGTATTGATGGAAATGATCACAAATTAAATGGCAATTCAATTATTGTGAATCAAAATTACATACAAAATAAGATGGGATTTACAGCACTTGGCATATATCGCGTTGACATCAAAGTTTTATTTACATTATTTTCATTAATTTTATCATATTCTGTTGTACTTATTCAGACAAATACTATGTAAAGTTAAAGATATTCAGACAAATACCTTTAATTCGTATAAAATATAGACTATTTAAATGTACATTTAATTATTTTATAAAATTCAATTATATTACAATGTAAATTTGAGTATGACTATTTAAAACTAATCTGATAACAATTCAAATATTATTAATTTAAAGTACATAAAAATTAAAATAGTATTCACAGTACTCTGTATTTCATTATCGAAATCAAAACATTAATTATAATAATTGACAGAATTTTACCATATTCTGTATAACTATTAACAGTTAGTAATATTGTAGTCTATTACTGTGTCAATACTATATTTGCATCCATTACTTATAATATCAATTTGTAATTAATTATTCGCTTAATTATTTGTATAGAAATAAAACTCACTTTAAATTAAAACAAAAATAAAAATTTTATTTAAAATTATATATTTATTAATTTACACCTTGTTAAAATATATAACATAATTACTATTTATTTTGCGGTAAATAAACAACAGCATCGATCTCAATATGACTGCCGCGGGGTATACTATTGACGGGCACGACATGACGGGCCGGGTATGGGCGGCGAAATAGCTTCTCGATCACTTTGTCGAGCACATGGATGTGCTGGACATCTGTGACATATACTCCCAGTTTTACGATATCATCGGCTGAGCCGCCGGCGGCCTCCGTAACGGACAACACATTGTTCAAAGTGGTCTCGTATTGGACAGCGAGTGGGCCGACGACAGGTGCCTGAGTGCTCACGTCTGTCGATATCTGTCCCGTAATAAACAGGTAATCACCGGCTCTGACGCCTTGACTGTACGGTGCGATAGGTGTGGGCGCTCTCACTGTCGAGATTACCTCCTTTTTTGGTGACATTATTTTTAAATTATTTTTGCTGTCAATTAAAATAAATGTTTAATTTTATTTAATAAATAGTCATTTTTATATATAAATAATTGTGTTTTTTAAAAGTCCGTAAAAGTTCTCAATATGTTTGTGAAACCTGTGTTATGTCTCAAAATTATAAGATATATTTTATCCTTTCATTTATATTATCTTTATTTATATCACGAGAGAGAGAGAGAGAGAGAGAGAGAGAGAGAGA